TTCTTAAAATATAGCGCAGCCCACCGGTGGGCCACATTGTCTCGAATGCTTTAATTTGATTAACTAACATTATTTTTCTTGCACTGAATACTATTCGATGTTATAGGGCAGATCGACGCATTAAAACGTACTACACAAAGTTTGTGACTAGGCTTTTTCTTCTTTCATTTACATGTTTAGTTTGAAAAGAGTGCAAGAGAAAAGATAACAAATAGGCTAAACAAGAGAGATGATAAGAGATGTATATCATACATTATGAATTGCGTCGAATGCTTGATCCTTCTCTTTGCAAATCAGAGATACAAAGATAGAGGTGAAGGTTCACTTTAAGTTTGGAGGGTGTGGGTGTGGGATGTGGGTGGGTGCGGGTGTGGTGTGCGGGTGTGCGAGTGGGTGTGAGTGTGAGTGTGGGTGGGTGTAGGTGTGGGTGTCGGGTGTGGGTGTCGGATGTGGGCGTAGGGTGTGGGTGGGTATGGGTGTGGGTGGGTATGGGTGTGGGTGGGTATGGGTGTGGGTGGATGTGGATGTGAATGTGGATGTGGTTATGAGCTTTATTCTCATAAAAGCCACATCCACATTCACACGTACAGCCACACCTGCACCCACCCACACCCACACTCAGTCACACACCCACCCACACCCACACATCCACCCACATCCACACCCACCACACCCACCACACCCACACCCACATTGACCTAAGATGCGGATTTTTTAAAATTTATTTAAAAAAATGATGCACTTTTTAGAACACCTCGGAAATTTTGCCTTTTTCATTCGAAGAACAAATAATTTTAAAAAATACCAATTGCAAACTGTCTAGTATTTGTAAAAAGAAATTTTCAGTTCAATCAGATGTTGTGTCTCGAAAAAATGACAGCGAAAATTCAAATCATCTTTCATGATTAGGATCTAAGTATTTCATAGAAGACAACGTCTGAAAATTTTGAGTCTATGATAATTGTTGCTCTATTCATCAAAATCTATTTGTGTTGATAATTTCAAAAAATTCTGATGAACCATTCTCCAGAAATCTGAGAATGAATGGCGGAGCGGATATCCTTCATGCACAGTGATTCGTGTTATGTATCTTCTTAGCTTAGTAAAATGTTTTTCTTTCAATATGTATTACCATTGACAATTCATATCAACCATTTGTAAGTCAAATTTTCCTTCATTTTCTAATCGATTTCACATATGATAAAGGAACAAAAAAGTGAAATTAATGCTCTTGTACCTTCGAATCTCATATTCAATATTATTTTAATGAAAATGTTCAAATCAAATAGGACTCAAACAAGGGTGTGAGTAATGATACCTACATCCGCACGCACATTCACACCCTATGTTGCTTAAGGAAAACGAATATTCTATAAAATATGTAAAGATGTTGTTTATTCTTGAAAACTATACATATTCAATTATTCAATTAACACATTGGTAGTATTCTTATAATATAATCAGTTATAGGTCAATTTAACTGTCAATTTTTCATGTAGGTATTACAGTTCTGTTATTTTCCAATATTGTCCTTGAAAAGAACCAGTTGTAGCAAGTATTGGTTTATTATTATTTATACCATCATTAATAATATCAAGAGATTTACCATCACCTTGCCGTAATGTTGTCAAGCGATAACATCCATTATCGAGTAAAGTAATCTTCCAGTATTGACCACTACTATTACTAGTCGTAGCGAGTATAGGTTGAGCATCGTTTATATCATCATCAACAATATCAAGCGATTTACCATCGCCCCGCCACAGTGTTGTCAAGCGATGATATCCATTACCAATTAAAGTAATCTTCCACTGTTGTCCACTATTATTATCAGTTGTATCAAGTATAAGTTGATTATTATTTATACCATCATTAATAATAGAAAGAGATTTATCATCACCTTGCCATAATGTTGTAAAACGATAATAAACTTTTGAGTCAAAAGCTGTTACTGTAAGTAGAAGATAAATAATAAAAAATAGATATATATACACTTTGTAATGCAATTATAGGATGTGAATGTGTATGGGTGTTAATGATGACAATAAAAGCTATATCCACAGGCATGTAAAGAATCATATCTATATTCCGTTCGAAAATATGCCTTACTTTGAAGAGTCCACGAAAAATTATTCATATCGTGTTTTACTTTTCGCGCGAAAGCTACACTCTATTTACTTCCTTTATTCCAGTCAAGAAAAAGCACGCTTTGCTGATCACATATTTTATAAATATATGTGCATGTATCACGTACACATATTTAAGAGGATTATTTGATACAAAGTTTACATTTTACAAATTTAAATCATAACTTTTTCAATCATTCTAGATCTTTTGTCAACCAATCATACATCAGAAAATTTTCGAATATCAGATAATTCATAAGTGTATTATCAGTTTCTAACAGGAGAAACCCAATGAACAATATACATTTTACCATTCGACCTATTTTCACTCAATAAAAAACAAAAAAACCGCCGATTAGGGACTATAGGGAGCATGATGTATTTAAGTCAGCATAGCTTCTAAGCGAAAAGTAAAACAGAACAATATTAATTTCCCGTGGATCTATGTAAGAATGCCAACATAATCTTAGAAAGAATTGATATTTGAATTCAAATATCGAAAATTCTTACATCCCATAAAAATCACGAATTTTTTATTGGACTCTCCGGAAAGAGTCAATCGTTCATTCATTACGAAGCAAGATACATTTGAAGACTTTATAGATGAAACTAGAGTAGTGTTGTGGAGAAATCACTCAGCTAAATATTAGTGAAAGAGTCATGGGAATCAAATTAAACGTTGATGAGAATCTTTAAAATTACTGTCAAAGCTGACATTAATTCAAATTATCCATATACCCAAAGAAGAAGCTAGCTAATAACGATTTAGAAGTCTTCGAAAAACTATTGTAAATTTTCTTATCGAAAAGATTTTGAAAAAAGTTAGAGAGAATGTCTACTAGAAGATCATCCAACCATACTTGTTGATTGACGAAGAAAAGTTTGCTTTCTTTTATTTTGTTATATTATACGAAAGATCTATCTAAATCATACTGAAATTTAAAATAGTAGGTCATTCGGTTTTACCTGTGAAAAGTGTGCACTAAAATAGGTTTAAAGGATCCATTGTGATTCCTTAGTCTTCATTATCATCATCTCAAGAACTGCTCGATCAGTTAAGGTCGGAGAAATCTCAGTTAATCTAGTACTGTAGATTTGACTATTTTTTAGCTAGATCTTTCGTCTGAGAGAACAGGGTCAAAGAAAAGAACGGTTTCCTGAGACGACCCATAATTATGATAAAGTGATCTTCTGGTGGACTCTCCCTTAAAAGTGTTTATCTATTAAAGAGAATTGATCTTGATAAACTAGCATTAGAGTAGTTAGTTATGTGCGAAGTATTTTCATTTACACCTTTTGCAGATCGATTAAAAATTCATAATTTTTCGACCAAGTCCTTTACGAAAAGAAAGTTCAAGAAAAATGTTGTCAGCTCCATATTGTTTGTAAAGAAATTTTTTTCTTATCTTCTAAAATAATCAAAATGTAGAGCTAAGAAGGCAAAAATGAAAAACAGTATCTTGAGTTGTCTGGCATGGCTCTTTTTTTTTCTATTCTGTATTTGAGAAATACATCAATATCATATCTCTTCATCGAACTCAATGCACACTAAATTCCTCAGATGAGAAAAAAATTCAGTACTAATATTGAACAGTGTGTTGATACAATTTTGAACTATGTTTCATTTTCTGTCAACTTTAGCAAAACAATTCTTATGGGAAAGAGTAAAATTTAAGAAATGTATCTGTGCACAGAGTTTTACGATTTTTGAGAGCATTTCTTTAAGCTTATTTTAACATGATGGATAAAGAGTGTTCTGATGTATGCTTTTTCTTGTTTAAAAATGTTTCAGTTAGTAGGAAACTCAGCCTGTATGGGTTAGAGGTACACTGGGCATTCAAATTTTGTTGAAAATATCTGACCCATGCATGTATTTTAGTATGAATGCTTTTTCAACGAGCATCAATCGTATTCTTGATATTGAAAACAACATTTTGTTTCAATAATACAAAGAATTTATGAATTAGTGAGGGTACGGTCGCAGATGGGTATTGTTGTTCTTCAATTAATCATCAACACCCAAGATCAATATATTACAAATGGATGTGCGTGTGAGTGTTTGTTTTATCCAAAAAGGACCCACAAACCTGTACGCAAGACGCTTTGATTTTTTCATTATTAACTGAAATGTGCAAAAAGCACGTAGACTAGCTAAAAAGACATGTGAATGTGCGTGTGAGTCATTTCTGAAGTTACGTTAGAGCCACAGTCACATTCACAGTTATAGACACATCTAATCGAAACCTATTCTATACATCCACATCCATACTCACAAGCACACGTAGAACCTAAGATGAATACTCCCGTCTATATACATCCCTATACTAAACACTGAATTTAAGTTAATTTACTTACCAAGGTAACCAGTAATGGTATCATCGGTTGAGTTTCTACCACTATTCTTACTTTTTTTCAGTGAGCATTTTCGACTCGATGGAGAATATGTAAAAGCAATACATCCAGAAGTTGCCTGGCATCGTGAGCAACAGCTAGCATAATCAGGTTGTGTTTCAGGAGAAATTAATATGTCATTGCCAGGTATGTCCCAGGCATCTTTACGTACGGAATCACCACACACATTCGCTGTTAGTAGATAAATAAAAGAATCATGCTAATAGCACTGATTATGCAGATGAAACATTTGAAGTGGCTGTATGCACCATATATAAGAAAGCAAGAACTAACAAACATTGTGCCTAATTCTATAGTTATATTCTGAAAACTTGAAATGTAATTGTTTTCTAATTGCTGCTCTTTTCTTTATCTGTTCTCTCGTTTCTTTTCATGCTTATGACTAAAAATGTGTAAGACTGAGAAACAGGTAGACAATAATCTTACATATTCTCAGTTTTAGTCACAGAGAATTTCTCAACATACCGAAGAAAGTTGCACATGCAAGCTTTGCGTCAAGGAACATATCACAAGAAAGTTGTTCAGACTATATAGTTTCGTCTCAAATCATTTTATAATCATCGATTAAACTCAGAGGAGCTAGCCTTTTTTTATTGAAATTCTCTCCCCCAAAACACGATACTTTCTAACAGAGAGCTGCGACACATACGATTATATCCAGTGACAGTACCACCAATTGCGTTTCCACCACTACCTATACTTCTTTTCGGCCAACATCGTTCACTTGATGGCTCAAATGTAAAAGCAGTACATTCAGAAGTTGCTTGACATTGTTTACAACAGCTATCATAATTAGGCTCGTGGACAGGAGAAGGTAATATATCATTGTCTGGTATATCCCAACCATCTTTACGTATGAAACTTGCACAATTACCACCTATTAGTAATTGAGAAAAGAAAATTGTCTTGAAAGCACGCATTTATTTTGCTTAAAAGAGATATTTCCATTTTCCGATGTATTGAATTCAGTTAAATGCAAATGCTAACAATCGGCAAGACTAAGTGATAGGACAGTCTTTAATACAATAATAATGAAACTTCTGACCGCTTTGGATTAGATTCATAAGTATGTATCTAATAAGAGCCTTAACTATGCTCGCAAAGCTAAAGTCTCGATTTTTTTATTTATAATCTTCAAGCAATTACTGAATTTCATAATGTAGGAAAGAAATAGGTCCTCTTCCGTCATTGCTGCCCATGATGTTATAATCTTTTTATATAATGGAAGTCTGTTGATTATATAATAGAAATTAATTCAATCGAAATTGTTTGTTATAGATCGTGGGAAACATAAACTGCTCAAACTGTGATTTGAATATTGATTATTCCAAATTAGTCTTATAAGACTTTCCCTTTACGTAAGTCTTTTTCAGATTAGAGCCCAAAACTTGATAGTACTTCCTTCAAAACTTAAGTGTCAATGAAGCATGATAATGCATTTGGAGATTATTGCCAGATTAATCTACATCAAATTAGCTCAAATGTACGTAGTGAAAGCATATCGTTTGAGAATTTTCTACATTTATTCCTTATAGTTTTTCCAGAGTTCTCGATTTTATCTTTCTTTAAGAAGTAGATAGCTTTTTTTGATAGATATTTCAATCGTTGTTTTTAGGATATTTAATCTGTCTATCTTCTTATACAAAATGACGCCTAACTCAGCGCAAGAACTACTAATATATCATCCATGAATAGATATGTACTGTTCTTTGAATTAGAATTAAACATCATTCAGTGTTTGTAGTACAACTCTTCATAGCGTTTAGATAGAATTAAAAGTTATTGATCCGTTATAATGATGAACGATCGGAAGTTTGAAGCTTAAGAATTAGTCGTCTTTGATTTGTCTGTGGTTGGAGAAGAAAATCAAAATGTATACCTGATGCTGTAGCAGTAGTCCTTGAGCCAAGAACAGAACCGAGAATAATTGCAACGATCATCATAGCTGCCAATACGCTGAATGGAATTATGAATCGTTTCTTTTTATACCAACGACGTCTTGACAATCTAATAAAATGTTCTGTCAAAAATACAATTAGATAAATATGTATTAAGACTTACGCCGTGTTCTTTGGATAAAGACATGCGCCTGAATAGAAAAATATTTCCATTCAAAGTAAATTCTTTAGATTACTTGACATGTCTTACACTAGAGGCTTTTATGTTGTTAGTCCAGGGAATTATATATATATTCGGGTCAGATGTAAGCTCTATCTATCAAACTCTTACAAGCTTAGAATATAAGTTTTAAGGTATATAAAGTGTACCTATGGTGGCTACAATCCAAAATTTCATCAGAATTTTTCATCTGTTGTCTTGATAATTGGATAAAGCTCATCGAGTTACAGCAGTTAAGATGCGTTTCATACTTTTTAAAAAAGAGATTTTAAAAATCCTAGATAAAAAGTTCGAGATGCTGCGATATTCAAATATAACAGAAAACAGACCCAATATTTTCATATTTGTGTGTTTTTCAAGTTTTTCTCTAAAATACAAAAATATGCTTTCTCCAATGTAACATAAAGAATTTTATCTGATTCATCAAGAAAATAGAAGACAAATTTCGCTGAGAGTGTGAATGGTAGTCATCCACAACAAACAGCACATACCTTAAAACTTGAATATCTTGTCCCATGCACATCAGCAGGACTATATTCTGAACTTTGAAAGCTTGGTGGTAATCGCTTCAATTTTTCCTGAATAGTTGTAACCCCCTTAGTTGATAACATAAGGGCATCTATCATTCATAGCTGAAGACTTAGAAATGGTACAAAAAAATGAAAGCTATCAAGTATTCATATATAACCTATAGAATGTGGGGAAAGTTATTCTTATGCCTCCTCCGTATTTTTATATAATCAACTTAATAATTACATCAGTAGCTGATCATCATACAGTGTAGGTATCTGAAGCATTTTGACCAGTCAGACATTGTCAAGGCCTCGGGTTATTTTAATAAAAATATCGCTCTCTTTTTGCCGCTGATTAGTGAGAATGAGTTAAATTAGCTCAAATTTAGTGGATCTCACTGAGATTTCACAGAACAGAAGTTGTTGAAATCCGTATTATTATGTGATGCTGAACTTAGATGTTCAATAAAATGGTCTGCGAAAAGTCTCCACATCATAGAATCTGTCAAAAACTGTCGAATCCCTTTTGGAATGTTATAATTGATAGTCCATGGACGCATCTACCAAAAGTTAACTATGATCACACGAGTTCATTAGGATTTTTCTTTGTACGAACATCAAGAAAGAGAAAGAGGATTTTATAAAGTCTTTGAGAAGACAAAAAGTTAGCGTAAAATAAGCATATAAAATTCTAATTATATGAATAGTATTTACATTTTTCACTTATCTTCGTCGGAAAGTCTTATTTTCTTCATGTTTTCAATAGATGCAACTATTTCTCAGTAATCTTGCTCATTTCTATTACACATAAACAGCCAGTAGAAATTCTTTTCTATCATCAAGAAAAAGTTCATTTTGTTAAAATGATGTAAAAATTACAAGCTTCTAGGTAAGTGACTGTTTGGGTTTTTCGCAAATGTTTCATTTTTCAGTATTTTTCTGTTATAGTGATTGTTGATTTCATTTGTTAATGCAGACAGATAAAATATTAATCCTGATTCATATTAGCGTAATAAAAAGATCAATGATCATCGCTACTTATATATAACAGATCAGAAATTAATCTGATTATCCTTTTCAAGCTTCATTTTCGTCAATCAAAACATTATAGAAACCCATACGCATCTGATGAACATGAATTTTACTCGTAGATCATTTACATACACCGAGCTGTAAGATAGAGCATGTAATTGAGAGGCAGACACAAATATGTCATATGACATGTGGGAGATGGATAAGAACATATCTTATCAAAGACATGCAAAATATTCCTTGTCAGAATGATTATTGTTTAAAATAGCATTTTCGAACGAAAAGCACTTGCACAATGCGCATTCTCATCTTTTGATTCTTTAACATACCTTCGAACGGAGGCTCAAGTAATATTTTGTTTGGTATCATCTGTTTCAAATGAACGATGTAGAGATCAGGTGCTGGATTGAATTGTGACTGTACTTCCATGTATGTCCCTGGCAACAATAGCATTTCGTCCTCAGAGCAAAAGTATGAATGTTTTTTCACACTCTTAGCATTGAAAGCCTCGATAGAGAACAGAGTTCTCGGACCTTGATAACCTAAATAGAGATCATCCTCTAACACAGGAAGCGTTGTTGTGCAAGATGAGAAACTCCACCAAATGACTGGAGTTCCTCGCCGAAATTTGAGACGAAGTTCTTTTCTTATTCCACGCCAAACAGTTTGTTGAGGTGCGCATGGTATTTTGACCAAGGCAGTAAGTAAAAGTTTTAGATACTTATACCATGGTTGTAATTGTTCGCGATCAGCTGTTCTAAGTGTTTCATTGAGAATGGAATAAACACTTCTATGTTCATCTTCCCATTCCATCGTGTACAGAAAAATTGAAGCTGATTCATCACGAGTCAAATCATCTGATGGAATAATTGAAGTGTGTCTCAGAGCCCTCGCAACATAAGCTAATATATTAAAGATAATAGGAACCAATGGTGCGCATGCATCAGCAAGTGGGAGAAGTGGCTCGTCAGCATAGCCTACGATAGGACCAACTACTTTTAAATCTTCAACATCCGGAATTATTAATCGAGAGTTTCGACGTCGACCTCGCAATTCAATATCACCATTCATGATTTAGAATTATTGTTTTGTCGATAAATTGTCGAATATACGTGCACGATATTGAACGTATCTTGCGGTATCTTTAATAAAAGACGGATATATGAAAATAAAGAAGTAAATAGTCGACAGATATTAGCTATTCTAGTGCATCTAAAAGAAGTATTTTGTGAACGAAAAAAACTTCGCCTATACCGATTAGTTACAGTCAATAAGCAAGACCCGAACTATTGTATGTTTAAAAACAAAGTAGTCATGGCTATTTTTCGAATAACTTGAGAACGGAAGCATCCAGAGAGATTCAGTTTTCACCATTTTATATAGTCTTAGCTTTTCTATCGATTCCCATATGAGACATTAAAAAGCTGTGATTTTCACGATGTTTGCTAACTGAATCTCTAAAAGGTTCGAATCTTGTTCTCTTAACTTCTGTAGCTAACTCTATGTTGAAAAGTACTAACAGGTAGCTTTTTTCCTTATAGTTACCTTATTCGTAAGAATGCATTGAAACGCAGATAAAAACACTTTGATAATGTAGAGATCTGATGCTGACGTGTTGCCATGGATGTACCAATCTCGAACTCTTATCTTTTACTTCCCTCTTACGTAAGCGCCCTTATCCGATACTGAATTTCACTGACAAACTTCTTTTTTCTTTATGCTCTTTACACTATGTTGCGTCTTGAAAATATATCATTGCCTACTCTTGTCTCAACTGATTCAAGCGGCAAATATGTCGTATCCAATGGAATTTCGACAATTTATGATTTTGTATACTCAAAACGCGAGTACGCTCTACAATCGATCAATGTTTTCAGTCGATTGACTGTTTTCAAGATAAATTTTGAAAGAAGACTCTGTTCGTGATGAAATTTTGTACACAGTATCGTATCATTGATATCTCGACTAAATCCGAAGATTAGAATGATTTGTCGAGTCATTGCTGAGTTATCGCAAAAAAATCATTATTCCCCATGCTTTTCTATGCGAACATTTGCCTATCTCGGTTTTCGTAAAAAAACTTTTTCTCTCATGGTTAAACAAAATCCTTGCTATTATATACCATTCGATAGAGACTTTCAGAAGCTATAAAATGGCACATAAAGCATTAAGAAACAAAATGGTTTGGTCATCTAATGCAAAGATACGTAAACAAAAATTGGTTCTGTTTTTCTCCATGCTCCAATTCATCGAAGATTAAAGCTTCATTATTCGTTCCGAGAAATAATACTTCGAGGCTTTCTGGAGTGAAGTACTCGAATCTGAGCTCTATGCGCCTTGAAATTCTATTGGTTGAGTAGTAACCAGTATAAATCAAGTTTTAATAGAAAAGACTTACCAAGATAATTTTGATGCCTGCTAAGGCTAGGATGACTAATCTCTCTATAATTTGCTTTTTCAAGTGCACATAATACTCGGATTTAAATTTGATATTTCCACATTTATTTAATTATCTTTTTGTGTTCATTTTTGTATTCTTTTTTCTTAAAATTGATTACGTGAAGGCTTTGTAACTATTTTACGTTGTTTTTGTTTTCTCTATGGTCGAGAAAAGCTTTTTTTATATTACTAAAATATGTTCATCTTAAAACTAAAACAAACTATTGAAAGAGAAGCGTGTTTAAAAATTAACTTTTATATATGGATGAAAAAGAATGCGCTGAGTACAAGCGTACCAAATTTTTGTATCCTTCTAGTTTTATTTACACATAAACTAGATATAACTTATAAAAATTTATATTAGGAATAAATTAAATTTTTTTTTTCGAGAACTATAGTTTCGTAAGTCGAATTTTTTTTGAAATGCAAATTAAAATAAGCACATTTGTATTTATTATAAATATAAATAATAATAATTTAATTACCTTGAATAACTACTAAAAAGAAACTTAGTGTATTTTTTAATTTAAAGGATAAAAAATTATGTGTCTTAATTTTTAACGAACAGGAAAAGACAGCCCTAATGATAAAAAAATTCCTGTTGTAGACAATTATTTTGTCGTATACATATTGAGGGAATTCACCAGTTTCAATAGTGCTTCGATATTGTCTAATGGTATATTCTAGTATTCGTAAGTACAAGTTCTTTGGGTTGAATCTGCTCTACGGTAACAAATAGATGCTTTGCAACGCATTCACTGCGAACTATGGGTATAATAGATCCATGAACCAATATATTCAAAAATCTTTGATTCTAATTTTCTGGAGTGCCTTGTATTGCTTCTAAAACGTTTGTTTTAGCACATCCTTAAAAGTGAGTTTAAAGTCTAGCGAAAACGTGCAATCTAATAAACAAATGCGTTTCGACGCAAGTTTTTGTAAGAATTTTTTTCGCAGGATGCGATTACATTAGAATAGATGGCGTTACAAATTATAGGTTTCCTTCCAGTACATTGCGATAGATGAAAGTACATGACAGTAGAAGTACAGTCTTATTTCCAGAGTATAAGTTTTACTTGTACTCACGCACTCCTCAATCAGATTGACAATAATAATTAAAGATCCTTTCTCGGTTAATACGCTTTATAGTAGCTGATCTTCATTGTCAATTTCATAAGAGATCTTGGAATATTGTTACTTCCTGAAATAAATATTATAGCAGAAAATAAACTGACATATTATAGGTGCCACTAACACATAGCACATAGAAATTACTTCTATGTTCATTCTCAATGTGACTCAAAGAGACTACTGTTTTACATATACATACATGTGCTCGTTGTATTCGTAGATAATATTGCTTACTCACGATGTGAACAGCACGTTATTATCGATCTTGCTCTGTAATTAAACTAAAGCATAATCTTGTGTGTATATATACTTTAAAATAAGGCATTTTTCTTTGCCCATGCAACCGTGTCTCGAAAAAAGATATAAATAATATCAACACGTGGCTTTTTTTCTGTATGGAAAGTTAATGATTGGTTGTTTACTCTTTCGTCCGTCGTCCTTGCAATCAAAAAGAACGCCAGTATAAACAAACCAACGAGTATCCAAGTATGCGCAAAATAACGTTTATTATATTTTCACGCTATACCTTTTTTTGTGTAGCGAATTTTATCATTCTTTTACTTATTCATTTAACCGTTCTGTGCGCTTGTATGTTTCTAATAAGAACAAAAACATCAAAATATGTGTAAGACTGTCACATGCGTATAGCCAAGACAGAACTTGGTTTTTTTAATAACGATTACAGCCGCTTCAAATTTCATTGTTATTTATTAGAGATTTTTATTTCAAATTAAAAAAAAAGTGATTTATTTATTTTTAATTCAATAATAAGTAATTTATTTAAATTTATATTAGTATAACAACGTTTACATTAAGTTTAGACGACGTTTCGACAGATCACCCGTTATTTTCAAGACTAGATATTGAATGAATCTTGACAGTACAAGTAAAGAATAAAGAAAAAGCAGTCATCTGTTGTATTTACAGTCAGAAACCTTACACATACTTCTATCATGAACGAAGTCAGTGTTATGAACGCTCATAATACTGATCCTTCTCCCCTTGGTAGTGCACCAAACATTGATTTTATCTTGACTTTAGTTGTTTTTTGTTCTTAATCCTTTCGGAAAAATTATTAATGGTACTGAACATGTTGTTTTACTTAATGTTTGTTTAAGATTATAAAGTAACAATGACTCTTTTACTAACAATTGGTAACATTTGTTACCCCTAGCTATAATCTTAAAATTTGTCCACTCTATTTTATGATTATTATTATTTTCATGTTGTTTGACTACTGAATGTGCTACATTATTAATTCTGTTCAAACTAGGTTAATTCATTATGTGTTTTTGGAAAATAATGTACTATCTCGCTTTTATATCTCTGAGATCGTCGAACATTACTAGAATTATCAATTAAATCTATAGAATAACATTTTGTTTCTTTTTCTTTGATAAGATTAGTTCCACGCTCTTGGAGTCTTCTACAGATTTGTTGTGTTTTTTTTCCTACGTATGTAGCTTCACAATAAGAACAATCCAGCTTAGATGTAATATTCGATTTAAATAGTTTAGGTATTGGATCTTTTATTGGTAAATATTCAGATAAATATGATGATGATCTTCCGACAGGTTGCATGTGTATTTGAGGATTTATGGATTTTCTTAAAGTAATTATTCGTTTTCCAAAAATTTCAATTGGTCTACCAAAAATGGTATATGATTGAAAATTTGCCCTTTTTTTATTGAATTATCTTCATTATTCTTAATTTTATCTTTTGATTTTATAAAACCTTCTGAATAACCATTTAAAACATCAATTAATTCTAATTTTTCACGCAAGAATTCATACGAGAAACAAATTTTTATTGATCTATACACCATACTGATTATGGCGCTAACTTTATAAGAGTAAGGAACAAAGGAATTTCATTTAGTTATCAAACCTGTATAATGTTGGCTTTCTGTAGATAGTCGTAGAGAAAGATTTAGTACAATTTAATGTATTAATACAAAAAGGGATAGTTAGATTATTACTGATATTATTTCCTTGACGGGAGGGAGGGTGATACGGCAAAAATTTAAAAGCGTTTGTTGTCGCTCTGTGGGTTTGTGCCGGATCAAAAGAAGATAAAGGTCAAAAAAACACAAGATCACGAAATCACACTTTCGCTCCAACGAACCATCGAATCATAGGTTTTCGACTATGGACTATCGACCAATCATATTATTTCACTCAGAATAACCAGTCAATCAGGGGTTTTTGACTCTGGGCTATCGGTCAATCAGTTTTTTACTCTGAATTACCACCCAATCAGGGATTTTCGACCCGGGGCTATCGACCAATCATGTTCTCGAATGAAGAGAGGGTCATATGAAAAAATAGTTTGTTCGTTTGCTCGTCTCAGGGTCAAAAGAACATGAGAGACAAATGAGAGAGAATAAGGAAGGATAAGAGAGAAATGAGAAAGAATAAGAGAGAATAAGAGAGAAATAAAAGAGAATAACAGGGTATGGGGTGTGGGCATTGATGTGGATGCTGGTGTGAGTGCGTATGTG